GCCTATTGTTTGGAATCTAGTTGGACAGGATCATTTGTTTGGCTGTGAGTCTGCACAAGGTTTCTGAGATCACAGTTAGACCACTGGGTAGAACAGGGCCTATTTCGTCTCAAGGAGGATAATTCCTGACTTGCATCTTTCTTCATGGGTAGGGAAGGCAGAAGTAGAGAACAGGGGTTGAATGGGGAAGCTGGCTGGGGACTTGCACTCGACAGACCTACAGATTATGCTTCCTCCAGAGCGGTGCTTTTGGCTTATCTCTCCAGAAAGCAGATTGGCAAGCTGGTTACTATGAGTTCTACTCCATTCTTTGTGTATAACTGACTCTGGGTGCTCTAACCCTGCTGATGCTTAAAAGTTCCTGAGAAGCAAGATATGTGTGGGCTTTCAATAAAAGGCCTCAGAATGGTAGGGAAGCTGAATGTTCACCTCCAACTCTCCTTCCAACTGCAGAAAGCATGGGTACAGGGGAATGTTTTGTGCATGGTGCTCTGCCTGCTCGGTGGAAGGGCAATGTGTTCAAAGAGAAACAGGGCCAGTGCTGCAGTTCACTAGGCTAATCCTCCTCCTGTGGCGCCGGCACCCCAGGTTCTAGTCCCGGTCAGGGTGCTGGATTCTGTCCCAGTTGCTCCTTTTCCAGTCCAACTCTCTGCTGTGGCCCGGGAAGGCAGTGGAGGATGGCCCAAGTGCTTGGGCCCTGCACCCGCATGGGAGACCAGGAGGAAGCACCTTGCTCCTGGCTTCGGATCAGCACAGCGTGCTGGCCGTAGTGGCCACCTGGGGGGTGAACCAATGGAAAGAAGACCTTTCTCTCTGTCTCTCTCACTGTCTAACTCTGCCTGTCCAAAAAAAAAAAAAAAAAAAAAGTAATTGGGAGAGAAACAATAATTGGGGATGCCAGTGTTGTGGCACAGTAGGTTAAGCTGCTATTTATAACAATGTCACCCCATATTGGTGTGCTGGATTAAAACCTGGCTATTCTGCCGTTGTTACAACTCCCTGCTGATGTGCTTGGGAAATCAGGTGAAAGATTGTCCCTGTACTTAGGCCCCTGCCATCCATGTTGGAGAGCACTTAGAATTCTGGCTCCTGGCTTAAACCTGGCCCATTTCTGGCTATTGTGGCCATTTGGTGAGTGCAACAGAGTATGAAAGATCAATCTGTCTCTCTCTCTCTCTCTCTCGCTTTCTTTGTGTCACTCTGCCATTCAAATAAATGAATCTTTAAAACATTCTGACAAATAAAATAAGTCCATGCAAAAAATTCACAGTATTTAATATGATAGAAAATATGAATAATTTAATTTTTTAAAATTGGGTTTATTTATAAATTAATTGTCTTACCTCTGTACAACATTTGTCACAATTTTTGATGCTATTTAAAATTTGAAAATGCTCATGATATATTGTTTTGGAAGCAGTCATGATTACTGATATGTGTAGAGATATAATAATCATTGTGTTGCATGTAAGAAATATTTCAGTGTGTTGGGCTTAGATGTGATTTTATTTTTTATACTTATAATTTTATCTTTCCCGAAATAACATATATTGCTTTTATAATTAAAATAAATGATATTTTAAAGTTACCTAATAAATAGCCTTTCTATTAGCTCTTGTGTTTATTCTAGAAATGGAGTAAGGTAATTTTAGGCATGTAGGCCACAATCACAGGATTCTTTTTACCTCTCTTCTGTTCTGATTTTTCCCTTGAAACTAACAAAAAGATGTTTTATGTTCCTTTCTATTGCTGATGTTATTTTGTAATCATAGTAAGGAAATGGGGAGTTTTCTGGTAAAATAAGCCAAAGATATACATAGAAGCAGTCAGTATCAGTTGAAAAAATGTTTCTGTAGCAAAGGTAAATCCCATCATTGTCCAATTTTGCCCATGTTCAGGGCCTGTCAGTTTTCCTTCTGTGTTGCCACTGCCCACCTGGGTGTGAAGAAATATAGTCTGGAATAGATGTTTGAAGCAGCAGTTAAGACACCATTTGGGTTGTGTGCCTCGCATATTGGCATACCTGGGTTCCAGTCTCGACTCTACGTCTGATTTCAGCTTCCTGCTAATGCAGACTTTGGGAGGAACAGTGATGGCTGAATAAATGGATTTCTGCCACCTATGTGGGAGACCTGGATAGGGTTCCTGGCTTCTGGCTTCAGCCTGGCCCAGACTTGGCTGTTGCAGGCATTTGTGGAGTGAATCAGTGGTTGGAAGCTATCTGTCTTTCTGTTTTTCTGACTCTCAAATAAATATATACAAATAAAAAGGAATGAAATAGTTCTTTTAAAAAGGTTTATTTATTTATTTGAAAGGCAGAGTCAGAGAGAGAGAGAGAGAAATCTTCGCAGATTCACTCCCCAAATTACCTCAAGGCTAGAGCTGGGCTGATCCAAAGCCAGGAACCAGGAACTTTTTCTGGATCTCCCATGTGGGTGCAGGAACCCAAATGCTTGAGCCATTCTCTCCTGCTTTCTCAAGCCATTCTCTCCTGCTTTCTCAAGCACATTAGCAGAGAGCTGGATTGGAAGTGGAGTGACTGGGACTCGAACTGGTACCTAAATGGCATGCTGGCACCAAAGGTAGTGGCTTTAGCTGCTACCACAATGCCAGCTCCATGAAATAGATTTGTTCTTTTTTTTTTTTTTTTTGCTTTATTTGGGTGAGGTGCAATATTCAAATGTGACTTCAGGAAGGAAAATATCTTCATTCCTGGACTTCAGTTTTTAAAATGACCAAGCTCTGATATCTTCTAAATTCTAGGTCTTGGCTAAAGATCAGGCAGTCGATTACCAGCTGGATTTTGGAGCAGAGCTTTAAGACTCAGTTTTGAAAGCTGACCCCAGCACTTAACAGCTGTTCTGTCTTGGGATTTTACTGAATTGCTATAGGACATTTTCTAAGTTTCTTCATCTTTAAAATGGAAGGAAATGTATGTTTCCTGGGGTTTTTATATAAGATAACCTACTGCAAAGGAAATGCTTAGCACAGAACAAACTACCTTAATAAATTGTAGCAGTGAGGAATCTTCTTATCATTACAGAATACTGCTGGTTGGAAAAATCTTTCAAAATAAGGAATATAGAAGTAAAATAATTAGTAATATGGATCATTGGTAGTTAACCAAGTTTAAATAATGTTTGAAAGTGACATTTCTAAATCAGCTTTTAATTCTCATCTGGATGATCTTAAGAAAATAGATCAGATATACTATAATTAGTTAAGATTTTTTCTAGTTGATTAAATAAAATTATGTTTTTGTGACTAGGTCACTTAGAACTCTCTGATATTAACCAACATATTTACTCCCACTTTGGCTAATGCTACCAGTCAGGGAAAGAAGGAACTGTCAAAGGGCAATCTCCATAGTTGTTGAGAACCAAAACCCAGGGAGGGGCTATTTGTGGTTGAAGTCATCTACCTTTAGAATGTGAAATTCACAGATGTTAGCTCTATTTGGGAACTATTGTAAAAAATGAAGTACTAGAATGCTCCTCCTGCATCAGTTATATCTAGAAAAGAAGAGCCAGAAATACCTTTGCTGAGGTAAAAGCACCAAGGTTTCCAGGGACACAGATTCATCAAGTGCTGTGCAGGGCTACATCACTCTCAGGGATGTTGGGTTTTAATCAGAGGGCCTTCTATGGATTGGACTTCTGATATGGTTAGATGGCAGGCAGATTCAAACTGAGTTGAAGATGCAACCTTAATTATTCCTTATATATCGTAGTAGCTAAGAGTTGTAAAAACTTTTACGTATGCATAGTATGTCTTCAGACTGCATAGTAATCATATGTGAGAGAATGCAAAGCGTATTATGCTAATGTTCAAGTAAGGAAATGGGCTTGCTGTGTTTGAAAGATTTAGGTAAGACATTTCATTAATAAGAACCAAAATCAGTCAACCTTAATTATTCCTTATATATCGTAGTAGCTAAGAGTTGTAAAAACTTTTACGTATGCATAGTATGTCTTTAGACCATATGTGAGAGAATGCAAAGCGTATTATGCTAATGTTACAAGTAAGGAAATGGGCTTGCTGTGTTTGAAAGATTTAGGTAAGACATTTCATTAATAAGAACCAAAATCAGTACTAGGACCTCCTCAGAATCAGCCCTTAAGGCATTCGGGTCTGGCTAAAAAGCCCATGAGAGTTTCTCAGGCATGGAAAGCCAAGACAGTGTGGCAAAAAATGACCTAAATGAAAGATCTCTGTGAATGAGATTCCAGTGGAAAGAACAGGCCATCAAAGAAGGAGGTACCTTTCTCTGAAGGGAGAAGAGAACTTCCACTTTGATTATGGCCTTGTCTAAATAAGGTTGGAGTTTGTGAACTCAAGAGCTTCCATAGCCTTGGCAGCTCATGACAAGAGCCTTGGGAGATTACTGGCATCATAAATAAGTGTGTCAATTGTTAAATCAACAACAGGAGTCACTGTGCACTTACTCTCCATGTAGGATCTTGTCCTTAATGTGTTGTACTATGCGAATTTATGGTAAAACTAGTATTCAAACAGTACTTTATTCTTTGTGTGTCTGTGTGGGTGCAATCTGTTGAAATCTTTACTTAGTATATACTAAGTTGATCTTCTGTATATAAAGATAATTAAAAATCAAACTTAATGAAAAATGGGATGGGAGAGGGAGTAGGAGATGGGATGGTTTGCAGGTGGGAGGGTGGTTATGGGGGGAAAACCTCTCTAATACAAAAGTTGTACTTTTGAAATTTATATTTATTAAATAAAAGTATTTTTTAAAAAAGTACTAGGTCCCCAGCCTTCTGAACTCTTTTGATGTTCTTTCTATGTGAGTATGCTGAGCATGATAATTTATTAGAATGTTGTATACAGAAAAAGTTTTGCATTAATAAAATAAACGGATTTGTGAGAAACAATCCTAATCAATCTATATTTGTGATTTGTTGTTAAGCATTCTTTTCTAGTGTTGTCATTCTTCTTAAGCGAAATCAGATTGTGAATATGTTTACTTTTTCTCTCACTAGGCTCCAATTATGACAGATGTGATTTTGAGGATGGGTTGTGTATTATGGCACAAGATCAGGATCTGCAACTTGTCTGGATGAAGAGAAATGGAATGATGGATCTGTTCCCTCCATTTTATGATCACAATGGTGATATGTCTGGTAAATGCTTTGAATTTATGTATTTCCTCCCTTTACTCCATTGTTTATTCTTCCCTTTCTTGCTTTCCCTTTTCTTCCTTTTTTCTCCCAAGTGTTTGATTAGGGAAGTAGAATCTTGGTTAATATTTACATATGAATAATTATCATATCTAATTTTAGGCATTCTTTAACCATTTTCAAAATACTTATGATTCTATACTTTCTCATCAGATTCTCATAGTTTGGTTCCTGGGATTTCAACAGATCTGCTAACACTTGGTATTTTCCAAATCTTTTTACTATGGAAGTTATAAAATATAAACATGCTAATACAAAATAGATTAGTCAGACTATCAAATTTCTTTTGGCTGGACTGACATCAGCTCTATTTACAGTTGCTTAATCAGGTAGACTAGAAAACTCTTTAGAGGGCTGCTCACTAGCTTTGAGGTGACTCTGAAGCCAAAAACATTCATTTCTTCATCCCTTAATTAATGAACTTATTCCTTCAACATTGTGTACGAGATGATTAACTCTAAGCCCACTCTGATCTGGTGTGAAAAGAGGTAACATATTGCCTGGTATAACTTATGAGTGATTCTTTTTATAACTGTGAAACTTCCTTCAAATAAATACACTTAAATAAAATTGATAAAGTATCATTATTACCCTGGAGATGAGTTGAAATGATCCATTGTTCCTTAGGAAATGTTGCATAAACATTACTGAGGAGGATTAGAGCCCCAGGTCTCTCACTGCCTACCTGTGAGATCTTGAGAGGTGTTTATTGTTTTGAGTCTTGATTTTCTAAATTTTAAGATGGGGAAAATGATGATAATTTCTTAGAATAGTTTTCTGAGAGCTAAATAAGATTTTGTTGCTAAAAGTTATCATAGAGTACCTGAAACTTCAAACAATGAGGCAATGTTCAGCACATTTCTGAATACTTTTGGTGATACTAGCTTTAACATATATAAATCAGATGGGGTTTTTTGTTTCATTTGGCTTTTTAAAAATATTGTTTATTTGAAAGGCAGAGTTAAAGAGAGAGAGAGAGAGAGAGAGAGAAAGAGAGAGAGAGAGAGAATCTTCTCTGTCCACTCCCCAAATGGCCAGAATGGCCAGGGTTGGGCTAGGCTAAAGAAAGAAGCCTATAAATCCATCTGGACTTCCCACATGGGTGCAAGGGCCCCAAAACTTGGGCAATCTTCCAATACTTTCCAATGCAGATTAGCCGGGAGTTGGATCAGAAGTGGAGCAGCTGAGGCTCAAACTGGCATCCATTTGGGATACCAGCATTTCAGGTGGTAGCTTAATTTGCTGTATCACAACATTGACTTCATGTTTGGCTTTTATATAAAACATATGAAGATACTTCAAAAGATACATGGAAAATGTAATTAAATGTAAAATATGTAATTAAAATGTAATTTTGGTACAAAAAGATTTTGAAATCCATGCATTTTTCCCTTAATATGCATTTTCCATGAACTTTTTGGAGATCCCTTGAACTTTTGTTAGAAATTGTTTTTAAAGATTTTATTTATTTGTTTGAGAGATAGAGTTACAGAGAAATAGAGAGAGAGAGAGAGAGAGAAAGAGAGAGAGAGAGAGGTCTTCCATCCACTGGTTCACTCCCCAAATGACTACAAAGGCCCGAGCTGTGCCGATCTGAAGCCAGGAGCCAGGATCTACTCCCGGGTATCCCATTTGGGTGCAGGGGCCCAAGCACTTTGGCCATCCTCTACTGCTTTCCTAGGCCATAGCAGAGAACTGGATCAGAAGTGGAGCAGCCAGTGCTTGAACCAGTGCCCATGCCGGATCCCGGTGCCACAGGTGGAGGATTAGCTTGCTGTGCCACAGCGCTGGCCATGAGAACTTTTAATATTTGATAGGAATAAACCAACTTTGTCACAGAAAAGGGACCAGACTCAGAAATAGAACCAACTACTAACAGTACAGGAAACTTTTACTAAAGATTTAGTTATATCAGGTGGTGATACTTCAGTATTCTTGTTCCTAACCTCAGCCATTGCAATGTCTTGCAAGTGTTGATTGCATACATCTCTCCTTTAGGGTTACTCTTATTTTCTCAGAAGAATGAATGTATTTACTAATCCTAGTTTTCTTGTGGGCAGAATTCCAGTTATTTTCTCTTTCTTATGTGGTTCTTGTTTTATTCCTTTTGCTTGTCTCTTCACTTTGGAGTTAGACAACCTCAGAAATTCTGTCATTGTGCTTCTTTCTTGCCTTCCCTCCATCTTTTGTTCCACTTGATTTTCTCTCCACCCTCTTTTGTTTTCTCATGTTTCCATGCTTATTTCATGATGGCCTACTCAAGAGATAAAATGCGGCAATTCAAATCAAAACCAGATGTATAGACAGACAACTGTTAACGTAACATAATCTCCAGAGTCAGGAGACTTTGCTGGGTTTCCCTGTGCTGTGAGCCAGCTGGCTCTGTGGTCTTAGTTTCCTCATCTATAAAATGAGGAATTTTTTAAAAAAATATTTTTATTTATTTATTTGAGAGGTAGAGTTACAGATACAGAGAGGGAGAGACAGAGAGAAAGGTCTTCAATCTGTTGGGTTCATTCCCCAAATGGCCACAATGGCAGGAACTGGGCCAATCAGAAGCCAGCAAACTGGAGTCAGGAGCCAGGAGCTTCTTCCAGGTCTGCTGCACAGTTGCAGGACCCCAAGTACTTGGGCCATCCTCTACTGCTTTCCGAGGCCATAGCAGAGAGCTGGCTTGCAAGAGGAGCAGCCAGGTGCCAACCAGCACCTATATGGTATGCGGCTACCACAGGTGGAAGCTTAGCCTACTACAGCAATGGGCCCCTAAAATCGGGATATTAATAATTCACACTGCATAAGGAAAAGACACAAAATATTATCTGAAATAACTAAATCAAGGCTGGTGATTTTAATGGTAGTCATGCATTTCTTATTAGTAGAATTTAATGTTAAGTTATGAGTTCTTCTTAGCAGCACTTTTAAGTAAACAAACATTCTGCTGTTAGATACTTGGCATTTGAAAATAATTACAGAAAACTATTCTTAAATCTTGTCTTCACTTAAATTCCTTATTTTAATAGCTAAAAACATCATGGCCAGCATTGTGGCATAGTAGGCTAAGTCTCTACCTGTGTTGCCAGCATCCCATATGGGCACTGGTTCAAGTACTTGCTGCTCCACTTCCAATCCAGCTCTCTGATAATGTGTCTGGGAAAGCAGCAGAAGATGGCCCAAGTACTTGGGCCCCTGCACCCACATGGGAAACACGGAAGAAGCTCCAGGCTCCTGGCTTCAGCCTGGCTCAGCCCTGTCTGTTGCGGCTGTTTGGGGAATGATTTAGCGGACAGGACATTTTTCTCTCTCTGTCTCTTGAAAAAAAATGTTAATAACATTTTTGATTAGCTTTTTCTTGAAATAATTGACCAGTGCTCCAAAATAATATTTTTCATGTAAACAATGCCTTGAGTTTTCAGAGCATAGGTTGAAAAATCTGTGAGAACAATGAAATTCACTCTTGCTGGCATTTGAAATCTATGCTCAGGGGCAGAGAGATTAAAGTGTAGTATTGATTTTTGAAAGTGTATAGCAATGAATTTGGTTAAAATGTCAATACATCTTTGCAGTGATGGTAAGACTATTTTAAAAAGTGGGAATAGGAATATGAGTCTGAATAATTCTGTAATTGAGCTGGTATGAAAGGTTGATATGGAGATTTTTTAAATTTGTAATTCATTGTACATCTAAAATGTATAGGCTATCAAAGTTATAATTTATTTGAAAAGTTACTTTTAAATGGGACTATGAGAGCTTCTGATTAATTGTTAAATCAGATCTAATATCCATTTATTACATTATGTAACATACATGCTATTAAACAGCTTCTAGTATTTCTATTTTGTTTTATAGTGGTCACATGTAGTCTCTCCATCTATAATCTACATATATTGTAATCCCACAAATGCATTTTATAATTTTTGCTGTAAATAATATCAAAAATAAGTTAAGAATAAAATAATATTTTATCATATTTATTACTTACAAGTCACTTCATTTATTTTTTTAAAAAAGATTTATTTATTTATTTTGAAAGACAGAGTTAGAGAGAGATCCTCCATCTGCTGGTCCACGCCTCAGATGGCTGCAATTGCCAGGCCTGGGACAGGCCGAAGCCAAGATCCAGGAGATGCGTTTGGATCTCCCATGTGGGTGGCAGAGGCCCAAGCACTTTGGCCACCTGCTGCTGCTTTTCCCAGGCCATTAACAGAGAGTGGGATAGGAAGCAGAGCAGCTAGGACAGTAACGGGTGCCCATATAGGATGCTAGCATCACAGGTGGCGGCTCAACGTACTACACCACAATGCAGGCCCCCACTTCATTCCTTTTGACTATGTCAGTTTGTCTCTCATATCATTTGTCATCAGTTTAAAGAATTTCCATTTTTATTTCTTGAAGTATAATTCTGCTGATGACAAATTATTTTAGCTTTCCCTCTCTTAAGATGTTTTCATTTTACTTTTGTTCTTGAAATGTATTCTTACTGGCTATAAAATTTTTCAGTCTTTTTTCCCCAGTCTTTTAAAGGTATTATTTGTCTTTCAGTCTCTCTAATTTCAGAATTCCAAATTGTTATTTTTGTTGTATGGAATATATCTTTGTAGTTTTGATGCTTTTAAGATTTGGTTTTCTATCCTTGTTTTTCAGTTTGGAATTTTTTATTTTATTCTTCTTGGTTTAACTAAGCTTTTTTTTTGGTAAAAAAGGGTTTATTTATTTAAAATATAGAATGACAGAGAACAGGGAGAGGGAGGGACAAAGGGAGAGAGAAAGAGAGATAGAGGGGGAGAGAGAGAGAGAGAGAGAGAGAAGAGCGAGGGATTGTCCATCCAGTGATCATTCCCCAAATGGCTTCAACAGTCAGGTCTGGGAGGGGCCGAATCTAGGAGCCTGGCACTCCATCTGGGTCTCCCAATTGGATGACTGAGTTTCAAGTGCTTGGGCCATCA